CGTGGCAAAGGCTGCAGGTTTAAAATCATCGGTTATTTCGCACTTTAAAATCGATAGACCAACATGTCCCGTCCTATACCTACTTATTAAAACACATAAGTTGGTAACACCTGATGATCATTCGTCAACCAATCCGTCATCATTTAAGGTTAGACCGATCATCAGCTGTGTAAACGGACCAACGGGTAGAATAACCTGGTTTTTAAGCCTGATACTTACCCAGTTGCTTAACCACATTCCAGCTCACCTCACAAACACCCAAATGTTCCTAGAACGTGTACGTAACGCGTCTCCTAATAACGCGTACGTGATGGAGTCTTTCGACGTTAACGCACTGTACACCAACATATCGAATGACTCCGCAATACAAGCCATCTTCGAACTTCTTGTTGAACATGAAGGAAGAATAAATATGCATGGCTTGTCCATCCAGCAGCTAATGGCTCTCTTAAAGGAGTGCCTAAACTGCTCGATTTTCAGATGGTCTGGGAAATATATCGCGCAAATGAGGGGGTTGGCAATGGGAGAGCGATTGGCACCAAGCCTTGCCATTGTGTTTATGTCTAAGATAGAAGCCCCTGTTCTCGAACTCCGGCCACTACTCTACTGCAGATATGTAGATGATTGNAGAAGCCCCTGTTCTCGATCTCCGGCCACTACTCTACTGCAGATATGTAGATGATTGTTTTGTCGTCTTCTCTACGTAGGAGGAGATGGACAAATGCTTTGAATTATTGAACGAGCAGTCCGAGTGCATAAAGTTCACCCGAGAGAAACCGAGAGAAAACTGGCTTCCGTTTTTGGACGTCCAAATAAACCTATCAAGTAGCGGTTACCTGACAAAGTGGTATCGAAAGCCAAGTAACAAGAACATCCTTGTCCATTTCCTTTCTTCCCACCCTTCACAAACAAGGAGGGCACTTGTGAGAAACATGTTTCGAACAGCCACCTCTGTGTGCACTACCAGGGAACTAAAGGAAGAATCGCGCGACTTGGCTCGGAAAATAGCCATCTCCAATGGCTACGAAATAGCAACCCCACGAGATAAGTTTACAAGGAGAACGACGCGCCCACGCGAAACACTTGGCCAAAAGAAAGTCCCGTTCATGTTGCCTTTTATAAGCGATGAAGTAAGCGTAGCTATAAAACGATGCTTAAGAAGGGCAAGTCTAGAGGAATCGGTAGCGATAGTTGAAATACCACCGGCTACTCTACGTCGCCAATTAGTTCGCAACCGCCTGTATGACCGTCTGTGTGAAACAATAAATTGCTTAATTTGCCCTTACGGTAGGGACGGCTACGGCATGAGTTCAGGTACGATATACCTGATCTCTTGTAATAATTGCGGAGATGAATATATTGGCGAAACGGGCAGACCTTTGTGTATCCGTATAAAAGAACACCTAGATGGCAAACGAAAACTAAGACGAAGCACCCCATTAGGCACGCATAGGATACAAAAGTATAGCGGAGACGATTTTGAAGTAAAAGTCAATATCCTTGCGCAGGGGTCCAAAACACCAGCGCGAAAACTCCTCGAGGCTTTTTGGATCAATGCCAGAAACCTTACAATGAATAGCAGGGATGAATGCCCGGAGGTCATACGCGACCTGATCCCGTACGTTCGCATCGATTTTTGATGTGGGATGGTGCAGTCGTCAACCACATGCGACTATAATCAGCTGTTCTAAACTTCCTCACTGGAAGTCACGAAAAGGCGGTGGGTTTTTTTTTCGAGAAGTTGTTGATCGTGTAATTACCATAGAGTTTTTCGTCTTTTTGTAACTGTTATTGAAGCGTTTGGCCTAGTAGATTGCATATCAGCATGCCCTTCCAGGCCCTGAAGAAGGCGATACTGCCGAAACGTCAGCTAGCGTTGTATTGTATTGTGTTTTTTATGGAAGTAAATATATGCTGTTTAAAAACCTCGCGATTGCTAAAGAAGAAAACGACACATTAATATTCCGTATATCTGCTGAAATATCGGCTAACATTAGAAAAGACAATGAATTGCGCACTAATCAATTTCGTAGGAACGCCCCAAGCGTTCAACTCCATTCGTAGAATCGTAGAGGTGACTAAATGCGTTTTCGACCTCGGCAATGACTGGCGATAGCTTACCCATGTAAAAATGAGCACTTCTATCCTCCTAAATAACTCTGGTACCATTTCGCCGACCAAGGGGGAACAGAAGATTAGGTTTGTCGGATGGCGGGGTCGAACTAACGACCATATTTATGTCACAGGAAGCTTTATCCGTTTCACTACGCGCTAAACCAACATTATATGTAATAACCAGTTAAGAATTTTAACCGAAAAACTAGACTATGATTTTCGAACCTTGTAATGATACGATTCACGCGTAACAGGTTTCTCCTTGCTACCACAATTATGGAAGGGATTCGGTCGCTCGAGAGAGACCTGTGCAGGAAGAGGAGAACAGAAATTGTTATTCCCAAGAAAGCCACGAATCACCTGGTAAATCTAGTAGCCTCGTTTCTTGGATCAACGTTCCTTGCTATGCAACTGTGTCGTTGCTTAATACTTCAACCACGCCGAGAACTTTACGCACCACCACCTACACATCGGTTAAGCAATATCTTCCAAAACATCACAGGCACACATTAAAATTTAGTGGCAACCCGTAGCTCTGGCCTTCGAAAGATGTCACATTAACATATTTGAAATCGTAATACTTCGAAAGTGAGGTATGAGTGGAGTAGTTGCGAAGTGAGATGGGTTTACGGCAGGTCGAGGAGATTAACAATGGAGTGAACCACAACGATACTGAGATATTCGCAGAACTTTGGCCCAAGGCCAGATCGAACTAGCTGGATCAACTTTTCCGAATATTTCAGCAACGTTGAGGTTATATCTCACACCATAACCTGCCGTGAAAATTGTAGTTGTCAGCAAATAAAAGGTTAACATTGTGATTTCGACTACAGTCTCAGCTTAATGGGTTCAATGCTGATTTATGCTCCCCAGATCAGTCCCGTTGAGGGATGATTGCTGATGGCAGCGAATTAGCTGAAACAAGGAGCAAGAGCTCAGTGGTGCAGTGTGAAATACGCGAACCTCCAGAAAGGGTAACGGGGTCCAAGTTTTGCGAATATCTCACCATCGTTGTGGTTGTATCTCACATAATATCGTATCATACCCTGCTGTGAAAATTATTGTAGGAAGCAAATAAGAAGGCTAAAATAGAGTAAACCTTAAAAGGATAAAGAAAATTTCTTAAGTATCTACGAAATGAACGCATTTGTTTGTAACTAACAAGGACCATCTGCATACGGAAGCATCCTCAAACACATCACCTCTACGAGCGATGGTCGAGACATAAAGAAAGGGATGGAAAACGTGCTCGTGCATGGCTGACTGGTGAAGGCGAACCGCCTATATCCAATTCTCTGTTAGTTAAAAATTACTATGATACATCCAAGATCATTAATCAGTATGTATGGATACTCCATGATCTATTCAGCTCATTGCCAAAAACGTTTACAACGTTTATATTCGTCTAATTTAATACAAGGAGATCGTTCTACTTCACTGCTATCCTTCGAAAGGATTTGGTTTTTTCGCAAATTCCCTGTATTTCGTTCTTCTTTTCAGTGATGAATCGTCGGCTTTAACCATTTTCACGGTTGGAAAAACAATATCTGAAAAGAAAACATTATTCTTTGTCTGTGAATGTCATTGTCATGTGCCCAGTTTCCGTAGTGATCGTAACTGTAGACGATGTTCGGAGCAAACCATTAAATGTACATCCCTTAAGAGTCCTCTGTTGAAATTTTTAAAGTGGTCAACTCATCAGTTAAATTTGAGAAATTTTCGGAATTCAATCGAAATGAAAGCGAGAGCAAGTCGATTGTGAACTTGCAGCATATTCATCAGGTCGCAAATCAAACTGGTAAGACTTTCGCTAGAAAATTTTTAGGGACCTCGTCTTCCTAGCGCTCCGCTGTGATCTTAAACTTCGGATATTTTTTACTTTTTCCCAAGATATCTTGTTTTTTTTATTTGGTGCTGCAATAACTACAGAGTGGCAGAATGCATTTCAGTTTCTTTGTGATTACTTTATTTCGTTGTTGACGTTTACGCTTTCTGCTCTTTTCCTCCTGGCAATCGGCTAGTTCTACTTTCAGGGACTATGAAGGCGCGTGAACAGTCTCGAACTCTTGTTTCCCTTCTGAAAAACTAAGAACTTACTAAAGCCATTACAGGTCAACTTAGGTCTTTCCTGAGAACTACCAATATCATGATGTTGAGAAACGAAGAAAATCATGATGTCCTACTTATGTGGTGAACACTAAATAGATAAATAAAATTGGCAGGATTAGCAGAAATTATGAAGTAAGCTTTAACGAATCTGCTATATAAAGTCTTCGAATTGCTCTCTAAGTTGTTTATCCGATCGTCAATTGTAATAGAAGCCCCGACTCCGGAGCTATCACATCCTCAACCGACATGCTTTGGTTTAAGGTAAGCCGACTTGACTTATCAAAGTGCAAGAAATCGCTGGAAGTGACTCGTCAGTGTGAGCGATCAGGTGTTGTAGTCAGATATAGAAAATCTCTACCGTTAGCCTCGCTTACACTTTCTAAACGCCCGTTATCTGGTTCAACGTTGTCGAAATAAACCCTAAGACGGAAAATGGTCACCAAGCAACCATCTTCAGAATAAAGTGATAGACTCGAAAAGAATCATTGCACATAATGAAACTTCTGATTTTAAATGGTAAAAGTGTTTAAGCTTAGCAACACCATTTCTTTGAAAGCTGAACAGCCCCAAGATTATCCTTTACCAAAACTGAGCGTGCACCCAATGGAAGCGGCATTCGTTTATTTCGTATCAGGATGCTTTACCTACTTCTTGTATTTATCACCCTGTTCATTGTTATCATTTCATCCTTAAGGTGTTGCCTAAATATCTTTCATCTTAGACATTTGCCGGAATATCTGACATTATAGGACCATCTACTTAATAGGGAAACACTTTTACATGGTCATCGAGCTCTCGTTCTGAAATGAATGATGGTTACTTAATAACTTACCACTAAGTGAACATGCTGACTTCTTAATGTAGACGTTGACAAACGGCGTGTAGAACGGAGAATTCCTCGAATCGATTTTCTCATAGAATTCACATGTGAACACTTGTCGACCACCTATCATACCGTAGACAGCAGCATGACATCTCTGAAATCGACTCGCTAATCAATAGAATCGATTTTACTCCCAATAAATAATTAGCAAAGGACGTATGGTGTTTGGTGTTTGATAAATTAAATCTTCATGATAAGGATGGTACTGCTTTTCAACATTTCTAGTTTAATGTGCATTCAAGTCATTACGTTTTACGTTTGGCGAACTAACGCCGGTAATGACGTTAATATTTGCTTACTTTTTCATGAAATATATGGGGAGGCGGGGCACGCAATAGTTGGAGATACCACGCAAAACCTTGAGGCTCGCTGGTTCGAGCACGCACTGGCCAAACAACCGATGCATCCACCTCGTGTCGAAAAAGTGGAGTCAAATTCGTCTCGGAACACCCTCATGCGAAACAGAAAAGCCAGACTGGGTAAGTGCACTACCTTATCTCTTCTGCAGGTGGCAAGACATCTATCTTCAGTGGTGTCGTAGCCATCGGCTGCCATTGCGTATGGACGATGAGAGACCTCTACATCACGATCGCTGTACTTCACAAAACATCGACAAAGATAGCATGGATCACCAAAGTGATCTGAATCCAGAAAAAATACATCTAGAGATATGCACTCTTCACTTCTGCTTCCAGTTAAGTTTTTTAAGGAGCTAAAAAGTAACCGAAAAAATTTTTGAGGCTAAAGCATTTTGGACTTCGATCTTCGATTATGTCTAAGGAACAATTGAATTACAATGTCGCAAGCGCATTTAAGAATTTAAAGTTAGTTGCCATTTTCAAGTATTTATTTATAATTTTACTGCGATAAATCTATGCAATGAGTAGAAAGTTATGCAAAGTTGTTTTTACAACCTTACAGATCTCTGCAATCTCAAAAAAACCGGCATTGCTAGGATCGGAAGTCCAAGGACAGAAAAGTAGTTTTGATATAATCTAAGATGGATCACGAAAACATAAAACTACTGGTTGAAGAGTATATGGGACAGGTCAACATTAAATCAGAGCAATTTGCTTTACTACGAAGTGATAAGGTATTTTTTCATAAACCCAGAATTTCTGGGGTTCTTTATTTGCTAGGGCATTTAAGATAGGCTCATGTGGCACTTTCTATTGTCTTATAAACATCGTGCCAATAAACATAACCACTCAAAATCAGAAGCGAGGCGTTTGTTCACTCACTTTGCCGAGCCGCAGTTGTTCTAATGAAGTCAAAGAACAGCAATGAGCAAATACAAAGCCAAAAACACATACTGCTGGTGCACTTGTCGATCTAGCTGATAATATCGGAACGTGATTCGTGCGAGAATCATAGTCGTCGCACCCCGTTTTCTCCAGTTCCCTAATTTTTCCGGCCATAAAGAGGTCAACGACTTCGCGACCCAGCTCAGTCTTGACCGCCGTGCCTGAATTTTCCATTGAATTTCCGCCTTTCATCGCAATATTCACACAGACCACAAAATGAAGAGATAAGACCGGCCCGATCTCTTCAATTCGGCTATGCAAAACGGGCTTATCGAACCTGTTCTCAGACGGAGATCGGCATTCTGGTTATGCATATCCATCTACGTACGTACATGTATGTATGTATGTATGTATGTATGCATGTGTGTATGTAATGTATGTAATATATGTAATGAATGTAATGTTAATAGTTTATTTTTTAACGGATAATCCAGCAGTCTGTATTATGCTAGTTAGCACAAAGCGAATAGTAAAAAAAAGAATTAATAGTAATAATGATCACAATAAATAATTTAAATTTTTGACCTTTCATGGGGTCCCGACGGTATACCGCCTCACCGTGCCTGGAAAGTGTTTCTGGATATCGGTTTGCGATATACAAGGGTGGGATTCATCCTCCCATCAGAAGCTCCCAAGTTAGGAAGGAGTCCGGCGTTTCCATCAAGAAGCCCAGGTCAGAGTAACTCAATATCAAGACCCAGCACCGTCCGGGTATCCAACTAGTCGCATTGTGGCAAATCTCTCACTGATCAACCAGGGCAGTGAGTGGCTGGGGTGGTGACGACATGAGGCCGACTTTGGCTAGACTGACCTCAAGACTCCTTGGAACCAGAATGGCTAAACCAAGAAAACTCCGAAAAAAACTGAAAATTATGGTGGCTCGCACGAATAGTGAAGCAATCAACACTCTAAGGCATTCTAACTCCCACTTCGTGTGCAGTGGAACAGGATTTTGAACCACCTGAAACTTCTGAAATTTTATCTTATTTCCCAAAAATTTCTCATTGATACCTTCTTTGGTTGTTAAGCTGAACCGAACCCTGGTAAATGAAAGAAAAAATATAGGACTAACTCGTATGAAATGCTGAGATATTTGCAAAACTCGTACCACAGGTGTATGCAGTGGAGAACGAACACGCGCTGCTGTCCTTACCGGGGAGCAGCGCACTTCACCACTACACCATCCGGGTTCTTCGCTTTGCATGTCTCTCAGCTAGTTCTATCGATCTTTTTGCCATCAGCAATCACCCGTCAACGGGATTGTTCTGGGGAGCCAATATCGGCATTGAACCCAGTTAAGCTGAGGCTTAGTTATAATCACAATCTTAACTCTTTTATTTACTGCCTTTTTCTTCTTGATGGCAGGTTATGTTTCGAATTATAACTCGTATGACGGGTGATTGCTGATGGCAAAAAGATCGATAGAACTAGCTGAGATACATGCAAAGCGAAGGACCCGGATGGTGTAGTGGTGAAGTGCGCTGCTCCCCGGTAAGGACAACAGCGCGTGTTCGTTCTCCACTGAATACACCTGTGGTCCGAGTTTTGCAAATATCTCAGCATTTCATACGATTTAGAAGAACCTTCAACCTCTTCTCCGGTGTCATAGAAGGTGTTTGATTTGTGGCATAGCCTCGTCTGGGCCAGGCCGATGACGTCGTATCTTACCCTTTTTGTTTGTACTATCAAGTCTTCTATCGAAGACGGATGAAAGTGTTTGTGCAATGTAGGTAGAGATCGTCAACATAATTCCTTCCGCGGTAGGCAGCTTAAACTGGCTCTGAGGTTTTAGCTGCCTCGTCGTACTCGTTCTTCCCAATGCCGCCGGAATGCCTTTCGGGGTCAGGTGAATGAGACCCGTTTCTTTTCCTGTGTTTAGTTTTTCGATACCCACGTATAGCTTGCTGGGATCTGAACGTGAGAGCTGGCTACACTCGCGAGTAGCTTGCCAGTCTCTCCCAGAGTGGGCATGGAGCTTTTTCGTTGAAGGCGACTCCTAACCGCCTCCCGTATTTCCCTGTCACTTTATTGCAGGCTTTTGGCTGAACACTCGTAGAATACAATCCGCAATAACTTGAACGCACCCACATACGCGTACATGAATACGCCTTGTAAATACAGAAAGTATATGCCAAATCGACGCAGCAGAAACAGGGAGTCCATCCCCTGGTTCCACCTGCGTCTCAAGGAAACATGCGGTAGCTTTTGGTTGGCGATTAACATCCTATCCCCAACCTGGTTACGCGCCACGTAGCCTCGCGTTCAATCGTTTCGAGATCGGCTACATGAGGGAGATTTTTGGAGATGTAATGGGTACCAGATTTATTTCAAAATAGACAAGTATCCTTCGTAGCTGAAAAGTGGTTAAAACTTTAACTCAGATCTCACGTACAAAGCGGGTAATTCGGAGGACTGCTGCTTGTAAAAGGAAAGCACAGCAATTTTAGGCCAGTTGATCAGTCTCTACCCTAAAAGAAGTCACTTATTTTTGGACTTTTTATTTTGCCTAATTTTTTCCTATTTTACTCCTTATGTTCACCAAAATTCCTAGATAGATTATCAATGCGTATACCTTTCTCCTTCCAATCAAGTGAGTCTTTTGTCTGCTTCCATGCAGAGATGGCGAGTTTTAGCGAGATCGTTTCGGCCCGTGATTCCCCTTTTACTGTGGAGATGATTGGAGTTTTGCTGAGAATGTCCAAAATGATGTGACAGCTAAAGCACAAACCGCAACGTGACCAACAAATCCACATGAGAAATCGAAGGATGAGCTTTAAGTTCGGTAAAACAGCGAGAGTAGCCTCTGGCCGTTTGCATAAAAACCGCACTTCTTATATTGCTTTTGAGCGAACTAGTTCAAACTTATCACCAACTTTTCTTCGCTCTCAGAAAGAATGGTGAACACAATTGGGGTACGAAGTTTCTATAAAAGCGTAGACGCCAAGCCAAGAATAGCCTGCAATACTCTGGGTGGTTCCAGCCACCTCCGAAACGTATGTACAAGACGCAATACACATCCCGCAATTATGTTCACCTACTCATGTACAGCATTTTTTAAACATTTGCTCATTTTTTGTCCTTAGAGGTTTACCAGTTGTTATTAGAGACTAGCCGAACAGAGTTTTACGTGTGCGAAATGGGAATGACAAAGGCGAAAAAATCGATCTGAGATATGGCGCGAGAGCATGAGTGATCACTAGCCACCCCTTTTTGCCGTTAATTTTTCGAATTTTAGAGTTAAAGCAAAACGTTTCAAGAGTTTTGCGTGCTGATATTTTGAACTTCCCTGCCAGGATAGTGGCTTCTATTTCAAAATCTTCTCCATCATGTATGTGGGTCCTACGCGTGCCTAGTAGAGTGTTTCTTTTGAATTTACATTTGCAGTGTAGTTGCTCGTTTGTGCATGCGCAGAATGGTCTACGTGTTTCGCCAACGTATTGCTTCGCGCATGCTTCACAAAAGGCAGGGACTGTACCCGAACTCATGCAATCACTTCCTTTCCTAATAGGACAAATTATATGGAATTACGCGGTTTACATAGACGATCATGGACACGGTTACGAACTTGCTGGTATAACAGTGTTCAGTAGTATTTCAAACACTGCTGCCTACTTATCTAAACTGGCACTTTTTAGAGAACATTTCATGGCTATGCTTATTTTGTTTAGAATGAAGGGCAAGATGAATGGATTCTAATTTCCACTAGATTAATGGTTTTGACTCGTGGTTTTCATCTAAACCTATCGCGAGTGGCTAACCCTTCGTAGCCACTGGAAATGACTATTTTTTGCGCCAAGTTCAGAGGTTCTTCCTCCTGCTCTCTTCCTGCAAACACACTGACGTCTTTAAGAAATATGTTTTTCGCAAGTGAATTTTCAGTCTGTGAAGTGTGAGAGGTGAGGTAATGAAGCAGTGTGTTCTTGTTGCTTGGTTGCCAGTACCGTTCAGTCGTTTAACCGTTTTTGGATAGGCTGAGTTGAGCGTCCAGTAACGGACGCCAGTGTTTCTTCGACTCCTCACGGATGGAATTTATGTACGCTGACTGCTTGTTTTGCAATTCAAAATTTTATAAAATGGTTGGTCTTCCACTTTTGACACGAAGGCAATGGTAAGGGTTGGTGCCAGTTGCTTTCCCGTTGCCAACTCTCCAATTTGTGCATAATATTTTTCTGGCTATCTAAGGATTAAGCCATTTAGGCACAGCTTTAGGACTTCCCTAAGCTACTGAATCAGTAAACTATAGATGTTTATTTTTTCATGTTACATAAGGAGTTTCCGGATGGCTTTCATTGTGGAGTCACTCGACATGCTGGTACAAGGGCAGTAACGTTGGAGGTGTTCTCTATGTACGCGTTGTTAGGACGCCCGTTACGTAAGCGATCCAGAACATTTCAGCATTCGCAAGATGAGATGGTTATGTTTCAGAAACTGCACGAGAACTGGGTTTATGAACTAAGGTTTATAAACTATTCGATTCGTAATCCCGTCTACACAACTGTTGACCGGTCTAACCTCCCACTTTCACTATTCTGTGTTCGGTTTTCGTTATTGAGTTTTGAAATCCTTTTCAGTGATGGGGGATAAAGGGAAGCGTTTTCAAAGTGTTTTTTCCATTATCTAAACATTTAAATGATAAGGTTTATCATTACCTGGTATTCCAATATCTTTCGATTTTATTAGTTTTCGACTGAATGAATTGGGTGTCAATTTGACCTTTCCATGCTATGGAGAAGCTGAAACCGCGGAAACGTCAGACAACATTTTGTTGAAATTCTATTGAATAATTCTTGGTGTTGACGACCTCGTGTACGCTCATCATGGTCAGGAATAAGTTTATTAATGATCATAGCCTTCTCTGTGTGCATTTCACACTGAAAGACGTTTTTCGAGACCAACAACCATTGAGTAAATTGTTTTCTACTTCTTTGTAAAAAATCCTTTTCTATCAGGCTTTATGGCTTTATCAAGGAATGGAGGTGGATACAGTTCCTTGTAGGAAACGGTTTCGCAATGCGTCATTACTGAAGTTGTCAACATGTGTGAGACCACCGAACATCCAATTGGCGAGCTTCAGCACTTTAGTCTGTGCATTAGAGACGGAAAGAGTTAAGAGACGCTTCTTGAAACCTGTCTCTTAGACAGTTTTTGAGAATGCACTTCCGACCATTTTCATC